ATATATATATATATATATATATATATATATATATATATATATATATATATGCCAGAAAAGGCTTCATTGAAAAAATAAGGCCATTTTCCTAGGTGGATGTATAAAGAGGAGCTCCTTTATTGGCCTTAGAGATCTACTTCAGAACTATGGACCACATTTCCTCTCATGTGGTGGCTGAGGAAAGTCGTCCCCATTGATAAAAATGTGGCACATTGGAGAGACACATTTAATTTCATCCTGCATGAAACTGATGGCTGTAGCCCACGTGCTGCATTATGCTGTTTTGTAATAATAAGTAAATACAAAAATAAATAAGAAAAGGCAACTTTTCTTCAGATGAGGATAGACTGGAGAAGGTCAAGGGCAGGAGAAGGGAGATCAGTTAACAGGCTATTGTAATATTTCAGGCAAAAGATAATTGTGGCTTGGGCACTCAAGTGAGTGAGTTCTGGTTTTATTTTAAATGGAAAGCCAACAGACCAGATGTAGGGTGACAAAAAAAAAAAAAAAAAAGAGTAAAGGATGAAACCAAGAATTGTGACCTGAGCAAATGGAAGAAGGGAGAGATGCTGGTTCAGGGTGAATATCAGGGATTCCGTTTGGGTAAGTTAAGTTTTAAGGCAGTGATTCCCAAAGTGGGCGCTACTGCCCCCTGGTGGGCGCTGCAGCGATCCAGGGGGGCGGTGATGGCCACAGGTGCATTTGTTTTAACTTTTCTTGTATTACCTTTCTATTCTGAGTTCAATAGTTTCATAATTTCAAACTTCAATGTTTCTAATTTACACCTTTCTTTACTATATTTTATGAAAAAGGTAGAAACATTAATACATATATCTTTCTGTTTAATTGCTATTAAAATTTAAAAAAAATTAATTTCCAGGGGGCGCTGAGTAATATTTTTTTCTGGAAAGGGGGCGGTAGGCCAAATAAGTTTGGGAACCACTGTTTTAAGGTGTCCATTGGTCATCCAAGCAGATGTCAAGCAGGCAGTCAAGTTCAAAAAAATCTTGATTAAAGATATAAACCTAAAGTCATCAGCATATAGATAATATTTGAGTGAACACAGATGGAAAATAATTTTTGAAGATGTTCAAACCTTCGAGTTTTCCTGACACTGGAGCTGTTGCCAGTGGCACAGGTACACCCTAGTCCATGTGTCACACTCTGAGGGGCCCCACTGCAAGGCTTAGTGGAGTGAAGACAGGAACACATGGGATGGCTGTGTTTTCACTAGTCTCCCCCCCAAAAAATGATAACATGAAAGGAAAACAGCTCATCAGTTGGATTACTTCATTTAAATCATTATTATGAGTTTATTTAATCCTATAACTAGTTCAAATTTTCACATGATTAAGGAATGTAAGGCTATAGAAAAGGACTTGGACTGGAGAGTCCTTGCAGACACCTCCATCTACAGCCCCTCAAATCTGGATTTAATCCACATATTATCTTTAGGTGAGAGCTCTTCTGATGGCCATGTTCTCGGCTTGCAGCTTTGAGAGAAGCATCATTAGAATTATCCACCTTCTGGTAACCTGAGAAGGAGATTGGGAGCCATGATGCGTCTCGGCAGCACTTCATGCTGAAAAGCTAGTAATTTATTTCTGGTGGAGTTTTGACACTCCCGTCAGTCTGGCCAGGTGAATCAGAAGAAGGAATCTGCTGAGGCATTTCTGGAATCTTACTGGCGGTACCTGGCAGGCATTCCTGCTTCCAGGCCTCATTTTCAAGGGATTTTGTGTTCTCCTGCATGAATATGGTCTCCTTTGTGGAAATAGCTGCAGACACCAGTGGCTAAACAGAAAAGCAAAAAAAGTCATTAGCAGAGACTAAAACACACTTGGTATGGCAAGAACACAATACTGCCATTTTCATGCGCAAGACTAAGAATGAAATGGAAACAGACTTGCCCTAGCGAAGCATAAAACAAAAATCTGATAGGATAAGATGATCAGCAATAATTTAACTGCCCGCCAGAACAAAACTAAACATTGATTGGTTGCCTCCCACATGGCCCCGACCAGGGATCAAACACGCAACCTGGGTATGTGCCCTGATTGGGAATCGAAACCAGTGACCATTCTGTGCATGGGATGATGCTCAACCAACTGAGCCACAGTGGCCAGGGCTAGACTTTTAAAAAATCTATTAATTGTTGGTGAGAAAAGCTAAGCATATTGTATAAATGTAAATAAGCTTAATATTTTCATATTTCCAAAGTGGACTTTGGGAACTAGCAAAAGCTAGTTAATTGTATAAGACTGCATTAAGGGTTTTAATGCATGGGATGTAGTATAGTTATAAAGATGTCAGGTATCAAGCCCAGTAAGTCAATTTCCTATCTGGGTATCATGTACTTTGCAGAAAACATCAAATGACACATTTTCCAGAAGATTGTGGCAAAAATTCGGAGATGAAAGATATGCTTGTCCGACTACTCCAAGTTATCAATTTATGACCACGATTACAGCACCACAGAGGTGGCATCTGTGGCTTGATCATAAATAAATAGTATGCAATAAATAAGATATTCAAGTAAATAGTATAAATAAAAGAACAGACCTAAAGTATATAATGATAACCATATTTGGTTTCTAAAAAATATTTAATAATTTTCGAAAAGGGCTCAAAGGACCTTATATAAAAAATATATTTGTTCCAAGTGTCATATCAGTTTAAAAAAATTTTTTTTTAAACCAGTAACATCTAAGGTATTTCCTGAAATCTAAAATGCAATTGCCTTTAAACATTTTCTTTTTCCATTGATAATGATCTTATTGACAACGGTTGTCAATAAGACTGGTTTATAAACACGGAGGGAAAAGTAGGCTGTTGGGGCCTCAACCTGCCTTGCGCTGTGGCCAGGCTGACCGTGGATTCCTGGTACCGGCTCTGGGATGCGCGCCCAGTGCTGAGTCCCTCCTCCCTACCTGGTGACACTTTTCATGCTCCTGTTGAATCTGATACTCCTCTTGCTTCAGCATTTCTGTCATTTGGGTTTCCTTGAGGCTATTATCATATTCCTCCTTCAGCTGGATCTTCTCCTGCCTGCCCTGGGGTAATGCGACAGAGGAAATCAGACCAGCCCCTGGGAGGCATGCACAGATGGGCCCCTCCCTGGGACTGGCCTCCAGCCCTCAGGGCTCCCAGATTTGCTCCTAGAACAGCTTTAACCTGGTGCTGGCTCCAAACCCACCAGCTCCATCACTCCTGTGAGCTGGACTCCCTGCGCTTCCAGGATACCTGGGCCTAAGCCACCCTCACAAGTGGAAAAACCAAAAGCTCCCCAAGCCAGCTCCACAATTCTGCCTTGGATTTCCAGTTACTCTGGGAAAGCTCCCCAGGCTGACCCGGTGCACACACACCAATTCCTGTGCTTTAGTGATTTTCCCGTACTGATGAAGCCAGTGAGCCAGGTACTCTATGGGGTCACTGGGCCGAACCTTCGCCACCTCTGCCAGTGCCTGGGCAAGGCAGTTCCCAAAGCACCTCTTCAGGTAGTCAGTTTCCATCCTGTGGGCTGGGGACACATCAAAAGAGTCACACAATTTAAAAAAATAGACACATTCTAACCAATAAGAATTCATTTCAGGATAAATATGAGATATTTCTGGATCCCACCCTTCCCCAAAGAATCAATAAATATATACGTGCCAATAGCTCTTACATTGAAATGGCCTTTTTCCTAAAATCCTAGGTCAGACAGTAGGTACTGGGGTGTTCAGGCATGACAAGAACTTGACAGATTGATGGTTAAGGGGGGCTAAGCTTACCCACATGTCTACCCTGGCGTGGAGAGGAAATAACTGAGCAGAAATGGGTCCCCACAGGGGTGCTGAGCACCCAGCAAGTTGTGCTATTATGAGGTTGGAAGTAACCTGTGACATAATAAGACAGGCTTATTTGTTTCACCAGGGATCACTGAGCAGCCCTGGGAGGAGCGGGAGGGAAATGCCAGGCACTGCAGCTACTGCTGCCAGCACTAACACAGTGTTCCTCTCTCTAGTTTTTAGGCAAGAAACTGCTTTAGATTGAGTGGGTGCCCCTGGATTCACTGATTTCAAGAGCCGAGGCAGTATAGCCTGAGTTGGGCCACAGAGGGGAGTGGTCCTGGGGTGCAGCAGCACAAACACAGACTCCGGGGCTGGACTGACCAAGTTCCAGTCCTGCTTCTGCCATTTATTGGCTGTGTGGTCTTCAGCAAGTCACCAGCCTCTGGGATCCTTGGTTTTCTCATCTGAAAAACAAAGTAACAAAGGCATGTGCTTCCTAACTGTGAGATAATCCTATATAATAAAAGGCTAATATGCAAAAAGACTGAACAGCGGACCGACAGGTTGCTATGATGTGCACTGACCACCAAACACAGGAGCTGCCCCCTGGTGGTCAGTGCGCTCCCACAGGGGGAGTGCCACTCAGCCAGAAGCCGGGCTCATGGCTGGTGAGCGCAACAGACTACAAGAGGGCTCCCAGACTGCAAGAGGGCGCAGGCCCGGCTGAGGGGCCCCTTCCCCGACCCCCCTGCCAGTGCACAAATTTCATGCACAGGGTCTCTAGTAATACATATAAAGCACTAAGCCTGGCGCATAGTAAGTGTTTAATAAATACTAGCTATTGCCGTGGAAATTTGTGATATGAAATGGCCCAACACCTGGCCTATTCCTGACCAACTCCATCTTCCTCACGTTTATGTATTTTAACTCCAAAAGAGTTAATAATAAAGTGACTAATAAAGGCTTAGATCCAGTCTTAACATTTTCTGGAGGCACTTCTCAGTTTAAAGAAGAAAAAAAACCAGATAGATACATAGATATGAATATGAAAAAAATGTATATTTCATAGCTCTTCCCACTGCAAAGGCCTAGAGGCAAAACCACCTCAGTAGCAATGAGCACACTGAGCATTCTGACTTGTCTTTAAATGGCTGTCACCGCTTCAAAGGAATCAGGGCTCCTTGGAGAAATGGCTAATTCCAAGGTCGAGGCAGCAAAAGTCCCATAAGCCTGGACTATTTTGTTGTCCCAGAAAGAAAATGTTGAAAAATAAAATGGCTGGGGGCACAAGAGCCAGCTTGAAGGGGCTGCTACTGGCCAAATCTGGGGAAATTTAATCATCAAAATGCATAATGACTGTAATGGATTACAACTAATTGAGTAAAATAAGGATCCATGAGTCCATATAAAAGCAAATAAATAAGTGAATGGGAGAGACAGCATATAAATACCAACTAATAAATGTGGAAAAAATAATGGAGCTTTAAGTAATCACCATTTTATAACCATCATAGTATAACAGAATCAAGCCAGAATCATCAATGAATAATAAAACTCAGTGACTATTTGAAAAAGAACAGGATATTTATATAGTCTCAAAGTTTCTCTCTACACAATATAGACCAAATCCAAAGGGAAACAGAAATTTTACAGTGATAAAACCTGGCCAACAAAACCTTAACCAAAATATCAAAATAAACATCATCAATAAGGAACAGTGACAGCCCATGTCTTCTAATGTAATATACTTCTCAGTGGCACATAATACATTTCTGGATTCCTGCCCCAAAGGCAAAACTTGAATCTGATGGAGGAAACATTAAACTAAGCCGAATTAAGCTACAGTCTACAACTGACTTGAACTCTTAAAAATGCCAACGTCATGAAAGGCAAAAAAGGGATGAGGAACCATTCCAGGTCAAGGGAGCCTAAACAGGTATAGCAACACGTACATGCTCCTGGATTGGATCTGGACCAGAAAAACATTTCTATAAAGGACATTGTTAGGCAAATTGGGCAAACGAATGTAAATTGTAGCTTACATAACAGAATTACATCAAGGTCACATTTCCTGGGTTTGGTAGTTGAAATATGAGTAAGAAAATGCCCTTGTTCTTAGGAAATGCACAGCGTGGTAAGGCTGAATAACAGCTCCCACAGGTGTCCAAGTCCTAATGCCTGAAACCTAGGAAATATGTTACCTTATATGGCAAGGACTTTGCCGATGTGATTACATTGAGGACTTTGATTTGGGGAGATTATCTGGACTCACCAGGTAGGCACAATGTACTCACAGGGCCTTTAGGAGAGGGACAGTGAGGTCAGACACAGATGTGAAGGCGGAAGTTTAGGGAGAAAAGGTGATGTGATCCAGCACCAAGTCGAGCCTTCTTGGCATCCAAAGCCAAGAAATGTGGGCTGCCTCCAGAAGCAGGAGAAGGCAGGAAATGGATTCTCTTCTAGAGCCTCCCCCTTTTTAACTCTGTGAGACTCATTTTGGATTTCTGATTTTCAAAAACTGTAAAAAAACAAATGTGTGTTTGAAGCCACTAAGTTTGGTGTATTCAGAATGAGTCACTCCAAGATGTGCCTCTGTGATACGAAGATTGCTTTGAGCTAACGGCAACCAAGGCCCTCGGGTTCAAGAGAAGCTTCTTCACCCTCCCCCTGGAGGCAGTTAGACAGGAGCGGAGCAAGGATGAAGGACAGGTAGAGAAGGTCACCAGGGTGGAAAGCCCCAGGGGCCTAGCAATGGACAATGGTAGGGTGGGACCTCATCCTCAGGGTGGCCATTCCTCCCCTAGCATATCACTGGTCATGCAGTTTGGACTCCCTGACCTTTCCTCCCTAGAGATTATATCTAACCTTGGTCCTATTTCAGCTCCAGGTCCAGAAAAGCAGCAAAAGCAGACAAGCAACCCTGACCTCAGGACCAGCTGCATTAACTAATGACCCTGGTACCAACCAATCAGTGGAGACCACCGCCCTGAAAGGACACACCTGGGAAGCTAAAGAATATTTTATTGTGATTCTCCCCTGGGACCTCCCCTAAGATCGCTGCCTTAAAAAAGCTGTTAGGGCAGCACCCAGTGCTTTCCCTCCAGGGAGCACGCCCACACTATTCCCCTCCCCCACCTCTTCCCCCAGGTGAGTTACCACTACCTTCCTCACTCCAAGCTCCACGGGCTCTCCTTTGGCCTCTGTAACTTGTTTCCTGAGCCCATGTCTTCCAGCACTCACTTCCTCCACCTCTGTGATTTTCTAAATAAATGTCCTCTTATAGTTTGAGTCTTGGCTCTGAATTCGTTCCTAGCCAGAACTCAAGTACGGAGGTTGCTGAACTGAGGTCCAGTCTGACCCTATCCGTCTAACACCTGGTGCCATTCTCCTCACCACCAACACCCCCAACTACCTAGAAGAATTTAGATTAGGGGCTTTGCCCACAATAAGAGACTGTGAGAGGTAACATTTTTTGACCTATGCAGAGGTCAGGGGAAACTTCTAATTACTGAACATCTGCTCTTCTTAGTGTCCTGCAATGACCTACCTCCTCTCTCAAGTCCCAAGGTGATCCTTAGCTCAGAATGTCATATATGCTTCATTTCCCCCTTTCTGTCTTTGAACCTCTCATGTGTGTGGGGTCTCTGACTCTCATGCGCAGGGTTCCCATACATATGTATGTAATTAAATTTGGTCATTTTCTTTTGTTAATCTGTTTCAGGTCTAATTAATTATTAGACCAGCTGACAGAACCTTAAGAGTAAAGTTTCTTCCTCTCCCACAGAGGTAGTCATGGAGGGGGGGGTTGGGGTGGGGGTTGTCTCCTTCTGATACCCTGTGGCCCACCTGAACCAATGCTCCTGGATAAACTACCTTCTACGGCCTGTCTACTCCAGGGTGGCCCATGACCAGCAGCACAGTATCACCTGGGGACTTGCTGAAATACAGATTTTCAAGTCCCACCCCAGGCCTATAGATTCAGTCCACATTTTAACAACATTCTCAGGTGATTTGCAGTTACCAATCTACTTTGCCTTTATCACTGTAGAATCTGCCCTTCCCAGAGGGTAGAATCACCCATTTTGCATTCCCAAGAAGTCTCTCCACTCCCAGTCCTTGGGTGGCGGCTACACTGTATGTATGGCGAGCCCTTTCTGAAGAAAACATCTGCTCCTAAGCGCACATTTGCAACAATGATCTCAGTGCAATATTGTTGACCGGACAGTTCTCAAGACTTGCCACAGTAACAGAACCACAATGTGCGGCTTGGAGAGGAAGGTGGCAAAGGGATGCCTTTTACAGCCCACTCCACACTAGCTCAGGGCCCACTCACGCAGAGGGAAGGGGCTATTTTCAGAGTTTCCCGGAGCTGCTGGTTCTCCCAGTTCATGGCCTTGCACTCAGTAGGCTGGGCAATAAGCGTGGAGATGGTCTTTGTTCACATTCTATTCCCAATGCTAGGCACACAGTAGGTGCTCAGTAAGTATTTGCTGACTTAATCAGCTAGGACTCGGATGCTTGTGAGCTCAAACAAGAGCTGGTGCTCCCTTCCACCTGTCAGTGCCCACTCGGGCACTTACTACCTCAGCCAGCGTTTAGCGAGGCTTCTGCACAGCACTGCCCGTAGCACGGGAGAAATTCTAGCTGCGAAGGAGCGAAGGAGTAAAAATGCAGGACCATTGAGCTTGTAGCGATTGTCTCCTCTGGCCAGGTGTCCTGGGGCCCGGGAAGGGGGTAGGCTGTCTCC